GGATGACGACCTACAGGGGCGGCCAGGGTTCCGTGTTCGTGGAGGTTACCGACGTGACGGCAGGCGCCCGATAGATGGTGGCGATGAGTCGCGTTGGGAACAAGGGTTTCGGGTGGAGATTCCCGAGTTTGATGGGGGAGTGGATGGTTCGGAATTTATTGATTGGTGGGCGTCTGTTGAGGCAGCCCTTTCTTTTAAGGAGGTCCCGGAGGAGAGGAGGGTCGCTTTAGTCGCGACACGTTTTCGGGGTCGTGCGGCAGTCTGGTGGATGAATGTTAGTAGCCTGCGGCATCGTCAAGGGAAGCAACCACTTGTTTCTTGGACTAAATTTCGTGAAGTTGTAGAGCGTGAATTTGTACCTTTCAATTACGACAGCATTGTTTATCAGCAGCTGCAAAGTTTACGTCAAGGGACTCGTTCGGTGACTGAATATACGACTGAATTTCATCGACTATTGACTCGTGTGGACCTACGTGAGACTAAGAATCAGCTTGTTTCCAGGTACGTCGGCGGTTTACGTGCAGGGATCCGTGATATGTTAAATATGTTTCGTCCGGAGTCCATTTCTGATGCTCACCAACGGGCCCTTCTCGTGGAGCTTCAACTGGGGCAGCGGGCGGGCCAATTCGGGTCGTCATCATCTCGACCTGGAGCGACGTCGAACCCGGGATCGTCGTTCACCCGCCCCGGAGCAGCGGCAGTTGGCGGGTCTGGCCAGGGGACAGCCGCGGTTGGTGGCACCCAGCGGGTCAGCGGCGTGGCGGGACAGCAGCCGTCTTCAAGTGCGACGCGAACCGTGGCGGGGCTGAGGTGTTTTGGGTGCGGTGAAATTGGCCATCGCCACTCCGTTTGTCCTAAAGGTACGAGTTCTCGGGCTTTATTTACGGAGGAGACGGGTGATGTTTTCAGTGGCGACTACGATGGGCCACCGGTTTATGACATTGAGCACGCGGAGGTGGAAGAGCTGGTTCCTGGTGATGTGGGCACGGCCTTAGTTTTGCGACGGGTTTGTTTGGCGCCGCGGGGTGCGAGTGATTCTCCGGTCGAACGTCATCATCTCTTTGAGTCCACTTGCACGGTTGGGGATAGAGTTTGTCGCTTTATTATTGACTCCGGGTCCTGTGAGAACGTTATTGCTCAGGAGGCTGTCGACAAGCTGCAACTTGCCACTGTTCCTCATCCCCAGCCATATACACTCGCATGGATTCAACGTGGGAATGCACTTACTGTTGACCGCCGTGTGTTAGTCACCTTTTCGGTAGGCCCGAGGTATCGTGATCAGATTTGGTGTGACGTCGTTCCGATGGATGCATGCCATTTACTGTTGGGTAGACCGTGGCAATTTGATCGCGCAGCCACTCATGATGGTCGTCTCAATACTTATTCGTTTTTGTTTGATGGGGTTCGGATCACTTCTCAACCTTCTCGGCCTCGCCCAGTCGTGATACCGAGCACCACATCCTCTGTTCTCTCGGTGTCTCGGTCCGCATTCTTGGCCGAGTTACATACTTCTTCAGTGGTCCTATTGATTCTGGGGCGGGAATCGAGGGACGAAGGTTCACCGCCTGCGGTTATTCAGCCGTTGTTGTCGGAATTCGCGGATGTGTTTCCGGACGAGGTTCCTTCTGGCTTACCACCCCTTCGTGACATTCAGCACCACATTGACTTAGTCCCCGGCGCTTCTCTTCCAAATAGGCCTCATTATCGTATGAGCCCGACAGAGCACGAGGAATTGAGGAGGCAGGTTGAAGAACTTCTCCAGCGGGGCGTGGTCCGTAAGAGTATGAGTCCTTGTGCCGTCCCGGCCCTTCTCATTCCGAAGAAGGACAGCACATGGCGGATGTGTGTCGACAGCCGGGCTACCAACAAGATCACCGTCCGTTATCGCTTTCCGATCCCACGATTGGATGACTTACTCGATCAGCTTCATGGGGCTTCGGTTTTTACGAAGCTCGATCTGCGTAGCGGCTATCATCAAATTAGGATTCAGCCTGGTGACGAGTGGAAGACGACCTTTAAGATCCGTGAGGGGTTGTTCGAGTGGTTGGTGATGCCATTCGGTTTGTCGAACGCACCCAACACTTTCATGTGAGTCATGAACCAGGCACTTCGGGAGTTCATTGGCACGTGTGTCGTTGTTTATTTCGACGACATTCTGATATACAGTCGGTCGGTGGAGGAGCATCTGCAGCATGTCCGGTCGGTCCTCCTTGTTCTGCGAGCTGAGGCCTTTTTTGCTGCCCCACGTAAGTGTTGTTTTTTTGTGCCTTCGGTTTTATTTTTGGGCTTCGTGATTTCGGCGGATGGCATTAAGGTGGATGATGGCAAGGTGGCTGCTATTCGAGACTGGCCGACTCCTACTACTTTCACTGAGGCTCGTAGTTTCCACGGGCTTGCTTTATTTTATCGTCGCTTTATTGCTCACTTTAGTACTATTACCGCGCCTATCACTGATTGCCTACATGGCTCGTCTTTTGCGTGGACACCGGAGGCTCAGTCGGCTTTTGCTTTGATTAAGGAGAAGTTAACATCTGCTCCCGTGCTCGTTTTACCTGATTTTTCGAGGCCGTTTGAGCTTTCTTGCGACGCCTCGAAGGTGGGAATTGGTGCTGTTCTGAGTCAGGACGGGAGGCCGGTCTCCTTCTTTAGCGAAAAACTGTCGGGCCCGAGGTCACGGTACAGTACCTATGACGTTGAATTTTATGCAGTCGTTCGCGCGGTCCGGCATTGGCGTCATTACCTCTTTCATCGTGAGTTCATTATGTACACTGATCACGAGGCTTTGCGCCATCTTGCTTCCCAGGATAATATCTCGGCACGTCATGCTTCGTGGACGGCCTTCTTGCAGCAGTTCACTTTCGTGCTTCGTCATC